AAAGTGTTGAAAAGCAAATACATTATTTCGCTCAGTAAGAGGTGTCTGCCTTAAACCACGGTATTCCCAATGACTTTGTACACATGTGAAGGTTGGACAATGAATAAAGAAGGCCAAGGAAGAATTGATGCTTTTGAATTAAGGTGTTAGTGAAGATTATTGAATAGTTCATGGACTGACAAAAGATGGAACAAATCTGTCTTCAAGAAGTACAGCCAGAAGGCTCCTCAGAAGCAAAAATAAAGAGAATTCATCTCATATACTTTGGACATGTTATCAGGAGGTACAAGTCCCTGGCAAAGGACATCATGCTTGGTAAAGCACTTTTTGTTAGTGATCAAGTTGGTTCTGACTCATAGCAACCCTGTATAGGGTTTCTAAAGAGCAGCTGGTGGGTTTGAACTGCCTACTTTGTGGTTGACAGTCCACTGCTTATCCTAAAGCACCACACCAGGACTCCTGGTAGAGGGTGAACCAAAAAGAGAAAGTTCCTCAGTGAGATGGAATGACAGTGGTCACAAGAGTAGGCTCAAACATACCAAATGTGAGGAAGGAGCATGACTGGGCAGTGTCCTTCTGATTGTGTATAGGGTTACCAGGAGTCAGAATCAACGAGCAGCATCTAACAACAACTTATATACAAGGATACTCTATGCCACGTGATTTACACTTCACTTAGCTCATCAAATGCTCAGAAACTCTCGATTTCACCTATGAGAAAACTGAGTCTAGTGTAGTTATGCATATTCCCCCAAAGCCATAAAACCAATATGTACTTGGGATTCATAGTCAACTCTGTTCAACACCAATCCTGTTTCACCACCAGAATTGCTTATGGAAAGACCACTAAAAATAATTCTGCATTTGATATATTTTTGTTAATTAATCTAGCTTAGTTCCATGTAGCTATATTAAAATTTAGTGTCTCTTTATACAGATGTAAAAACATATTAAAATGGGCACGAAGGCAATTGCAATTTTCTGCTGAATCTCATGTTTACCTGTATAGGACCAGCTGATCTCTTCAACAAGTTTTCTCTGTTGCCTGTAGTATCCATAAACCCAATCTAGAATCAAGAAAACACAATTGATCAATGTATATATAATCATTAAAAGATAAATATATGATTTGGATATATACACTCCAAATGTCTTATACCACAAGCAGACCATACTTCCCAAGGCATCTTTTCAACATGTCCCCTCAACTCCAACCACCTCGCACTTACAGACCCTGGTAGCTAGTCTTAAGTTTGTTGTTCTTGTTGTTAAGTGTCTTCAAGTCAGATCAGACTCATGGTGACCCTGTAAATGGTTTCTGAAGAGCAGCTGGTGGGTTTGAACCATTGACCTTGTGGTTAGAAGTCTAGGATTTATCCTATAGAGTTATACCAGGACTCTAGTGTCAAGTTTGTTGTTGTTGTTATGTGCCATTGAGTCTGTTCTGACTCCTAGTGACTCCTGTAGGGTTTCTGAGGAACAGTTGGTAGATTTGAATCGCCATCTTTGCAGTTCAAATCAGCCTTGCAGTCCATTGCATTTTCCTGCAGGGCCACACCAGGGATACATTAAAGGCATTTGGAAGTCCAGGCAAGGACAGAGTAAAGCAGCAGCTATTTAGAAGATTTCATAAATGGATAGAGAAGTTTCAGAAAGGCTAGTTTATCCTTCCTCCAAATTTTCCCTAACATTCCATAAATCTGATTACTGAAATCCTAATCATTAGATATACTTTTGCATTTAAACCAAGTTTTATTTGTAAATGCCTCTAGGAAACCAAAGGGATTATTATGCTTTCAAAATCTGCTGCCTTTCTACTGGTAAAAACCAAGTTAGCTACCTTGAGGCAATGGATAATGAAGTGTGGGCCTGAGAGGCAAAGATTGTGTTAGATAACATAGGTGAGTTTATCATCTGTAACTGGAAAAAACGCTGGTGTAGCACTTCGCTGCTAAGTAACATGTGATACTCAAACCCACCAACTTCTCCAAAGGAGAAAGATGTAGCTGTCTGCTTTCATAAAGATTCTTGTTGTGGAGTGCCTCGAGTGTACTGAGCTTCTGTATGGTTTCCCAGGAGTGGGTGTAGAGCTTGAACTGCTGCAGTCCAATGCTTATCCTACAGTGCCATAGTAAGTCTGTAAGGAAACCTTATGGGGCAGTTCTACTCTGCCTTACAGGGTAGTTGTGAGTGAAAATCTATTCTATGGCAGAGGTCTTGTGTTTTGCTAGCCTCTGGAAGAGAAGAGGTGGCAGAGTGTTGTAACAGAGTGAGAAACCAGAGTACCTTAAGCGTAGTGGACACCTCATGACCTAGAGAGCTGTCAATCTAGAACACAAGGAAAGGAGTGCAGAAAAGAAGGTGGGTAGAGGTCAAAGTCTCAGTCTGCATGATTCCAAATCTGCCAGGAGCCATGCCTACAGCCAAGAACTGGAGAGGTTATGATTCATCCTCCTCCTTCCGGTGCCACTGTCTTTTAATCTTGGACAGTAATAACATCAGTACTCAGTTTGGCTACGGTGTGGGCAAAATAAATCTTTGTGGATTAGGTTTGAAACCTGAGCAACAATAATGGAACTGTTTATATAGATAAGACTACAATGAACTAGTTTGTCAATGCACTTCTGGAATATTACTCAGTTATAAATCGGGATTCTACCAAAATAGATTTTGTTTGGAGGTAAGAATGTATTTACAACAATATCAAATATATTGATTTTCACAAACAGTTGAAAAAATTAAAACTCATTCTCTCTATACATTTGTTTCCTGTTTATTGGCAGTTTTCCATTTCAGAGAAGCAAATATCTAAATGACACTTGCAAAATTATTTTTCCCCCTTCCATCTCACATTCACTCCAATGATTACACATCATAATAAATGTGAAATTATTTTATAAAAACTAAAACATTAGCCAGCTATTGTTGTTGTTATGGTTGTTAAGTGCTGTCAAGTCAGTTCTGACTCAGTGACCCTGTATAGGAGCTGCTGGTATATCTGAATCACTGACCTTGTGGTTCAAACCAGTCTTTCGATCCAGTGCTTATCCTACAGTGCCACACCAGGACTCCAGCCAATTAGTAGGCACACATGGTCAAAATCCATACATTATTCAAAGCTAAAACCTAACTTGGAGAAAGAAATTGTGCGTCCTAAAATTTGATTGATAAGTCCAGGTAAATTCCATTGATCATGTAACTACCATACATGCACTGTGTATAGAAGTATGTGGTGTTGGTGGTGGCTCTGTGTTGTCAACTTGGTTCTAACTCACAGCGGTCCTGAATAGTGTTTCTGAGGCTGTAAATATTTACAAGAGCAGAAAGCCTCAAACGGATTCACACTGTTGACCTCGGAGTGAGCAGCCCAACTGGTAATCCAATGCAGTACCAGGGCTCCTGATACCTCTACGTATGTATGTAGGTATGAGAGGCTGCAAAAAGTTTGTGGGAAAATGGAATGAAAAGATAATGGAATTTTTCCCTAAAACTTTTTGAAGCCTCCTTATGTATATAGTTTTAAAGGGATATAGTTCATATGCCATATAATTCATTAAGTAAAGTATACAATTTAGTAGTTTTTACTCTAATCATATAGGTGGTCAAGCATGTCTGTAATCCACTCTAGAAGATTTTGATCACCCCACCCATTAGCCACCACTACCCCACATTCCATCCAAACCTTGTTGTTGTTGTTAGGTGCTATAGAGTCAGCTTTGACTAATGGTGACCCTATGCACAACAAAACAAAACACCGTGTTGATCCTTTAATATCTTCACCATTGTTGCTGTACTTAAGCCCATTGCTGCTGCCAAACTCAACCCTAGACAACTACTAATCTAGTGTCTATCTTGTATTTACCTACATTGAACTTTTCATATAAATGAAATCATAAATCACTGTCGTGATTGGCTTATTTCACTTAGCATAATGTTTTCAAAGTTCATCCTTGTTGTAGCACGTGTAAATAATTCATTTGTTTTTATTGTCAAATAATAATGCAAGATATGGATATACTTCATTCCTCAGATGATCGATATCTGGGTTGTTTCTGCTTTGGGGCTATTAAGGATAATGTTGCTATGGATATTTGTACATAAATTTATATTTCTACTTCAAAATGTAAATATTAGGTCCACAATTTATTTTTTCCTATAAAACTATCCCATAAAATGGTAAGCACTTCAAATTAAATTCTGAAACAAATGGTTCTTCATGATCGGGGATATTCTGGATGTTAGAGATGGCCTGAAAACAATCATTGGACTCTAATAATTCACTGCTGTTGCATCAGTGTCAACTCACAATGACCCTGTAGGACAGAGGAGAACTGCCCCATGGTGTTTCTGAGGCTGTACATCTTTATGGCAGCAGACTGTTTAATCTTTCTCTTGAGGAGTGGGCTGGTGGGTTTGAACTACTAGCCTTTTGGTTTGCAGACCATTGCTTAACCCACTGCACCACAAAGTTTCCTTCAGATTTAAATAGCGAGAAAAAAATCATTTTTATTTGCAAAAGTTGGTTGGTTATGTGCCGTGGAGTAGGTTCCGACTCCTAGCGACCCTATACAGGGTTTCCGAGCCTGTAAATCTTTATAGGACCAGAAAGCCTCATCTTTCTCCCACGGAACAGCTGATAGTTTCGAACTGCTGGCCTTGCAGTTCGCAGTCCGATTCGTAACCACTACGCTACCAGAACCATTTGTATAGGTAGTGATGACAAAAAATGGCAATACTAATGTGAGGCTTTCACTTCCTGGGCCACTGCTGCCTCTACAATGTCAAGGATTCTGAGCTATCCTCAAACGGATTCTCTCATTAGGTACTTTGCCTGAGGAGGAACCCCACGCCCCGAAAATCCTTCAAAGGAAACAAAGTAAAATAAAACAATACAGATGGTTATACCACCAGCAAGTATATGGCCACATCAATTATAAATTAACTGGAACACATGACTAGACTTGGACATACATTTGAATTTTCCTCCAGAACTTCGCACTGACCACAGGGAAATGATACACAGTTTTTTATTCTATCTATTTTAAGTATATATTTTTAATGAAAACAGTTTTGTCCTGTGAATGTATTTTAATGATTCCCAAAGATCAGACATCACACAAAAACCTACAGTTAGCACATATCCCCTTCAGAAATAAATAAAACCATAAACTCTTGTTTTAATGCTGTAGCAAAATATCAGCAGATTTTGGCTTTCCGGTAAAGACTTTCTCAGTACGTGAGCGTTAGCATTTGTCCTTGTTTTTTAATTACTTACATTAAGAAAGCTTTTTTCAATACAAGATTCCCAGGTGTTGGTAGCACTCTTCAGTTCCTTGAAGTATTGTTCCCTTAATTGTCACTTCAAACAATCTGCTACACATTCGTATGCTAATTGCATGGGCCTTGGGCCTGAGAGAGTCTGAGAGAATGCCACTTTTAAGTTTCTACTTAGAAGTCTGAGAGATGAGATGTGATAGCTCCAATGAACAAGAAAAAAATGAAGCTAAGTTGACCTTTTTGTTGCATTATATACTTTGAATCCCAGTACATTCTTATAAAATAGAATCTATTCAGTGCCAACATATTTTTTAATCTATTAAAATGATGATATCTAGAATATTTATTTCTGTGGCTTTTGCTTTTACATCTATTCTCTTTGCATTTAAATGCATTTTCCAGGTCAATTTTGGTGTGTGGTTTGTAGTGATAAAAGCAAAACAGGCATTTCAAAAGGAACTGCAAGCATGATGTGTGACAAGTAAACTTATGCTAATAAATCTTTCTTCAAAGCTACTCTACAAAATACATCCTGAAAAATATTCTTTATTAAGGGACTTTTTAA